GAGCCACTCCTATATGAGGTACACGGGGGCATATGTGGAGGGCACTTAGGTGGATGGTCCATGGCCTATTGTATCATGTCCTAAGGGTACTGGTGGCCATGGATGCAAAAGGATTCGCAAGCCTATGTCCAAAAATGTGATCAATGTCAGAGATTCACTCTAGTCATTCGGCAACCCATCGGGGGCTTACACCCGTTAACAAGTTTGTGGCCATTCGCTCAGTGTTGACTTGATCTGGTTGGGCCCCCGCCAAAGGCTCCTAGAAACAAGAGGTTCCTAATGGTAGGGACCGACTACTTTACAAAATGGGTGGAGGCAGAGCCCCTGGCTCATATCAGAGATATGTACACCAAGAAGTTCATGTGGAGGAACATAGTAATGAGATTTGGGGTCCCCCGTGCCCTTGTATTAGACAATAGGACCCAATTCAATAGCGGGCCCTTCAAGTCTTTTTGCAATCATCTTGGAATTTGGAATTACTCCACCCCTGTATATCCGCAAGCCAATAGACAGGCGGAGTCCTCGAACATGACCATCATCAATGGGATCAAGAAGAGGTTAGAAAAGGCCAAGAAAAAGTGGGTGGACGAACTCCTAAACGTCCTCTGGGCATACAGGACCACCCCACAGAGCTTGACGGGAGCGACACCTTACTCCCTCACATATGGGGTGGAGGCGGTTATCCCATTGGAGGTAGGTTTTCCCACTATAAGAACACAAGCCTTCGACACCGGGAGCAACAATCTCCAACTCAGTTTGGATATGGACCTCATAGAGGAAAGAAGAGAAGTGGTTGCCTTGAGATTGGCTAAGTACCAAGAAGGGATGTCCAGGCTCTACAATATAAGGGTCAAACCCCAAGAATTTCTAAATAAGTGATCTAGTGCTCAGAAGGGTGGTAGCAAACACCCGAGATCCAACAGATGGGAAGATAGGACCCAATTGGGAAGGCCTATATAAAGCCACGTCGGTGGGGGGGCTTCGGGTCATATAAGGTAGAAGACATAGAAGGAAGTACTGTAATACGACATTGGAATGTAATGAATATGAAGAAATACTACTTTTGATGAATAAAAGACTCATCTTCGTGCTAAGTGTGTCATCTTGGAAGGGGCATGGCCCTGGAGGTGGAATCTCAAGAGTTCCAACTTCCAAATAAAGACCAGGAGCTTGCCTCCTGGAAAGGGCATGGCCCTAGGGGTGGAATCTTAGGGATTCCAGCCTCCAAATAAAGACCAGGAGCTTGCCTCCTGGGAAGGGCATGGCCTTGGGGGTGGAATCTCAGGGATTCCAGCCTCCAAATAAAGACCAGGAGCTTGTTTCCTAGGAAGAGTATGGCCTTGGGCGTGGAATCTTAGGGATTCCAGTCTCCAAATAAAGACCGGGAGCGTGCCTCCTAGCAAGGGCATGACCGTGGAGGTGGAATCTTTGGGACTCCAGCCTTCAACTAAATAACAGGAGCATGCCTCCTGAATGGAAAATGACCCTGACAGAAAGCACTCTCATCGGATACATTACNGGGAGCGTGCCTCCTAGCAAGGGCATGACCGTGGAGGTGGAATCTTTGGGACTCCATCCTTCAACTAAATAACAGGAGCATGCCTCCTGAATGGAAAATGACCCTGACAGAAAGCACTCTCATCGGATACATTACTTGGAATGGGGATACTTTGCCATGTAGCATTTTACAAAGTAAATGTAAATTGTTGAAGGTTCATCTTGTTTGGAATTCCCAAATACACACTTGGCTAAGTAAATGAAACTTAGAAATGGGTTGTCCAAATGATACGTCTTTATGAGTTGGTGCCATGGTAACTACACTTTAGTGAGTTGGGAGAAAGGCGATCTTAAGAAAGTGGCTGACGTCTAATGTGGGCGTGATTGCCCCTGAGATTTACCATGGGACCGATTAGTTTTGGTAAAAAGGAGTATTTATGGATCAGTGTGGGGGCGATAACCCTTGTACCAAGCACCAGAGTTTGCTTGCATAAGTACATGGGTAACGTTATTTAAGCTGGATATGGTGGGGCAAGGGATCGATGCCATCTCCTCGGATCGCCAAACAAGGAAGATGAAGCTAACCGGAGTGAAAAAATATGCAAACATCCCTCAGCGCCATCGTCGTGAAAACCCCTCGGGGTCCTCCATGTCTGACACATGCCCTTAACATGAATAATCGTCGAAACTATCTATTTCTGACACGTTCCCTAGACACCAAAACTCATGGAGTTTGACAATACTTATCGCACGTCCTCGGGACTGAGGGACACCAATGAGTTACTCTATCTAGAAGGCGCAAGTAATGTCCTCAAATTTAAAGCTTTTTGGCTCTGAAGTTCGACACTTTTGGAATTTTCAGAGGTAAGGGTTAGAATAACACAAAAATCAAAGAAAAGAATATACATGAAATAAAGCAAAGTGATTTCTCATTTCAAGAAAAAAGGGGGCTTTGTGTCCCCTGGGCTATAATAGTTCAAAATTACAAAAACAAAAAATATGGGGAAAAAGTTGTCTAGGGAGTAGCGGGTGGCCCATCAGCCTTTCTGTCGGTATTCCCTCCCTCCCCGGAGAGTTCCTCAATGCAACTAGAGGACTAGTCATCAACATCGTTAGGAGGCGACATCACAACGACGGGGGCATTAGTCTGAGGAGCTAAAGGAGCAGAGGAAGGGACCGCAATAGGAGCCTCCATGTTGGTTGCCAAGGTCGAAGGCTCTCTAGTTGGCGCCGAGGATGACACTTCTGCATTTACAACATCTTCAGTTGCTACCGTCACTACAACCTAGAGCATAGCTTCCGAGGGCACATACTCATGCATGAGGAATAGAGGAGACTCGGGGGGAACCCCAGTTGCCTTGAGTGCCTCATCCTAGCCCTTCTTAAAGAACTCCCTATTATTTTCTTCAAGGGTGACCAGGATGTCATCGGCGCAGCCATCAACGATCTCTTGTTCCATCTTTTTGTTGGCCTCCATCTGCTCCCTAACTCTGTCCAACTCCTAGGTGAGGGTCGAGCAAGTCTACTCTGACTCCTCAACCTTCACCTCTACTAAAGATAGTCACTCTGTTGCCTTGGTTATCTTCCTCTCAGTGTCTGTGAGGGCTACACTTAGCTTCTCAGTGCTAACCCTCGTAGCCTTGCCATCCTTCAGCAACTGCTCAATTTGGTCCACCTGGGAAGACAGTGTATTATCCTTGGCGGCCACGTCCTCCCTAGTAGCAGCGAGAGCTGCCTCGGCTTCGGCCTTCAACCTCTCGAATTGATGAAGACTTTTCCTTTGAGAGTGATAGCACTCAGCAATAACAAAGATTTGTTGGGCAGTCCATTGGAAGGAAAAATTAAAATTCACACCAGTGCAAAGAAGACTGAAAAGTAAAAAGAGTAGTTACTGGACTTACCACCAGGGAGATCTGGATGATTGAGCGGAAGTGTTGGTTAGTCGGCCGTCGCCGGTGTTCATCCATGTTTCCTCAAAAAAGAAGTGTCTCACTTACAGCATAAGCCATGTGAGGAAAATGGATTATGGAGTCATCAACCCGGATCAGCCTATTGTCCCAATCTTGGGCTCGGGGGTGCCACTCCTCAGTAGTTGTTGTCAGCGCCAGAGGGAGAGGAGGAGTTTGATATTGTTGTTGTTGTTGTTGTTGTTGTTGTTGTTATTGCTGCTGTGGTTGAGGGGCCCTACCTTGGCCCATTCCATCATACTGGTGTTTAACTCTCCTCTCCTCTTCGAGTTGAGGATCCCTGTCATGGACCTGGCCCCAGCTAGAAGATCTCGGTAGCACAAGAGGAGGGGGAGGAGCGTTGATGTTGATTCTTGAAGGGGGAGGAGGGGCATCACTGGAGGATCCCCTGTCCCTCCTGGTAGCCCGGGCGGTCCTCTGATTCAAGAAGTTGAGGTTGATAAGAGGATGGTGAGACATTGCTACCTCTAGCATGTCCTCCTCGTCCAGACTTTGAAGAATATTAAAGTTAGGCCAAGTCTTCCTCCCTAATGTACTGGTCTCAACATGGACTACGATTGAGGGATCCCTGACTTTTGCCGCTTCTTCTTCACCTCCCTTGGCAACCCCTTCTAGCTCGGCCTTGGCGGCCCTACTAGAATCCTCCTCCAAGTTCTCCTGGAAGAGCTTAGACCACCTCAAAGGATCAAAGGGTTGAGGAGTTTGGGAGTAGTTGTTGTACCTTAGAGTGTAGTCTAGAAGAATGTGGGTTGCTCTACCAAACCCATCGCTGACGTACCCCTAGACTATGACGAGGTCATCAAAATTGACTAAGTGCCGAGGTGGAGGAGTAGCTTCACGGTTGGAAATGTCTGCACAAAAGAAAAGCGTTAGAACTTATGCAAATTATGTTCTAAACACTATGGAAGCCAAGAAAAGAGGGAGAAGCTGATGTACGTGTTGTCTGCCACTCCTTCGGGCAACTTAAGTCAGAATACTCGTGGCTGACCCCTCTCTCCCAAGCACCGTTGAAGACCAGCAAATCATCTTTGTATCCTTTGTTAGAATTAGGAAGGTGGGTGATAAGGTACATGAAAGTGTCCCGGGCTTTGAGGTAGAAGTTTTACTGGGGCATCACCTTCAGCAAGGAGTAATAGAAGAGGATATCATCAATGCTGAGGTTTACCCCGAGACGTCTATTGAGCTCGATCACCCCCATTACTATTCTAGAAATATTAAGGCAACACTGCCCTGGGAAAAGACTAAATTGGGACATGAATTGGAGGAGCAATGGAGGAAGGGGGAATCTGATCCCTCCCTCCATAATAGCCTTGGTGTAAAAAGGCATGGCATCCTCAGCGCTGACGTTGGAACGATGATGTCCTGGATCAAACTCATCCACACGGACGCTGCGAGGGATGCCATAAAGAGTTTTGANCAAAATTACAAAAACAAAAAATATGGGGAAAAAGTTGTCTAGGGAGTAGCGGGTGGCCCATCAGCCTTTCTGTCGGTATTCCCTCCCTCCCCGGAGAGTTCCTCAATGCAACTAGAGGACTAGTCATCAGCATCGTTAGGAGGCGACACCACAACGACGGGGGCATTAGTCTGAGGAGCTAAAGGAGCAGAGGAAGGGACCGCAATAGGAGCCTCCATGTTGGTTGCCAAGGTCGAAGGCTCTCTAGTTGGCGCCGAGGATGACACTTCTGCATTTACAACATCTTCAGTTGCTACCGTCACTACAACCTAGAGCATAGCTTCCGAGGGCACATACTCATGCATGAGGAATAGAGGAGACTCGGGGGGAACCCCAGTTGCCTTGAGTGCCTCATCCTAGCCCTTCTTAAAGAACTCCCTATTATTTTCTTCAAGGGTGACTAGGATGTCATCGGCGCAGCCATCAACGATCTCTTGTTCCATCTTTTTGTTGGCCTCCATCTGCTCCCTAACTCTGTCCAACTCCTAGGTGAGGGTCGAGCAAGTCTACTCTGACTCCTCAACCTTCACCTCTACTAAAGATAGTCACTCTGTTGCCTTGGTTATCTTCCTCTCAGTGTCTGTGAGGGCTACACTTAGCTTCTCAGTGCTAACCCTCGTAGCCTTGCCATCCTTCAGCAACTGCTCAATTTGGTCCACCTGGGAAGACAGTGTATTATCCTTGGCGGCCACGTCCTCCCTAGTAGCAGCGAGAGCTGCCTCGGCTTCGGCCTTCAGCCTCTCGAATTGATGAAGACTTTTCCTTTGAGAGTGATAGCACTCAGCAATAACAAAGATTTGTTGGGCAGTCCATTGGAAGGAAAAATTAAAATTCACACCAGTGCAAAGAAGACTGAAAAGCAAAAAGAGTAGTTACTGGACTTACCACCAGGGAGATCTGGATGATTGAGCGGAAGTGTTGGTTAGTCGGCCGTCGCCGGTGTTCGTCCATGTTTCCTCAAAAAAGAAGTGTCTCACTTACAGCATAAGCCATGTGAGGAAAATGGATTATGGAGTCATCAACCCGGATCAGCCTATTGTCCCAATCTTGGGCCCGGGGGTGCCACTCCTCAGTAGTTGTTGTCAGCGCCAGAGGGAGAGGAGGAGTTTGATATTGTTGTTGTTGTTGTTGTTGTTGTTGTTGTTATTGCTGCTGTGGTTGAGGGGCCCTACCTTGGCCCATTCCATCATACTGGTGTTTAACTCTCCTCTCCTCTTCGAGTTGAGGATCCCTGTCATGGACCTGGCCCCAGCTAGAAGATCTCGGTAGCACAAGAGGAGGGGGAGGAGCGTTGATGTTGATTCTTGAAGGGGGAGGAGGGGCATCACTGGAGGATCCCCTGTCCCTCCTGGTAGCCCGGNATTGAATTCTGAGGACTTGTCTTAGACACGTCACCTCACCCCATAGAGGGGTTACTGACCCACATAGCTAACCAACCTCGTGGCTAGACTAGGGATCAATGGATCACTCCCCCCAACGAGGTTAGAATGACAGGAGGGACATGACCAACAACCAAAGAGAGTAAGGCATGTGTTGCATAATGTACAAACTAAGGGGCAAAGAGACGACAGTACCCTCCTGACATGCTGTCATCTAAAGCAAGCATTTAATGAATTCTCAATTGATGGGACATCCACGATGGCTTGGATGTAAGAAGGGGTAGATATTTCCTCAGGTGCAAGACCCGGTTACTAGTTTATACACTGCAGATAATGCCCGTCCAAAAAAGTGTAACGGTGTACGAAACCGGAAGTGAGATTCAAAAATCCGAATAACCAACAAAGACACATGGTTTATTTTAAAAAGGTCATTGGATGTGTAACATCAATGACGAGGGCTTGGAATGCTCGGATTCATACGTATGGCATTGCATGTGTTGAGGGAGCCGGTAAAGGCTCTGGTTGAGTTACATGTGTGAGTCTCATCTCATATCATGACATGACATTGAGGATTCCATTGTTGAATTGCATATTCTTGAATGGAGTGATTGTTGTTTGTGAATTACATGTGAACATTTTATTTGCATCCAGGTTGGGGAGTAGCCTCTTTAGGAGATACCCTATTGAGCATGACTCACCCTTTATGGTGATAATATTTCAGGTGTGGGACATGCGTTGGTGGACAGCTCTCANTAATTGAATTCTGAGGACTTGTCTTAGACACGTCACCTCACCCCATAGAGGGGTTATTGACCCACATAGCTAACCAACCTCGTGGCTAGACTAGGGATCAATGGATCACTCCCCCCAATGAGGTTAGAATGACAGGAGGGACAGGNGAAGTTGGTAATTTGTTAGACACCCTTGACTGTGTACTTCCTCGGTCTAGAGGTCCCAACCTCTTGGACATCGATGACAAGGCGACGACTCCTCAGNGAAGTTGGTAATTTGTTAGACACCCTTGACTGTGTACTTCCTCGGTCTAGAGGTCCTAACCTCTTGGACATCGATGACAAGGTGACGACTCCTCGGCATCTGTCATAGAAGGGGGAAAGGGTTCCAAGGTATGTTCTTCAAGATGGGAATCCTAAGGGGCGCTAGAAGACATGAAACGAAAAAAAGGGGATGCTAGGGGACTATTCTGGGGTTCCAGAACATAGATGGTGGAACCTGTAAGGCGACCAGTCACCGACTAGTTCTCTAGCAAAAGTCTATGCAAATGGCCAAAGGGTTCGAAAGTGAAGAAAGGGGGACGAGGCTCTGTTTATATAGGGCCTGTCCCATCATTGCGCATGAGACACAAGGACAGACACATTCAATGGACATGACCTCCAAAAGACGGGATTACGACTGGGCAATGATAAGGTTGGTGAGCCCTTCCATCTTCCAACAACAGGTCCCTTTTGGTACAAAGATCAAAAGACTGGGGGGCAGTTGATGGGACACTTATGAGAAAGGATAAGATTCTACCATGTGTCCTCGGTGCCTAGGGAACATCCCTTATTCTGATGCTGCCTCGTGTCCTCGGCACCGAGGGCATCTTCAGCAACCTGATGCTTCTACGTATCCTCGGCACCGAGGGCATCTCCGTCAACCTGAAGCTACCACTTGTCCTCAGCACCGAGGGTATCTCTATCAACCTGATGCTACCACGTGTCCTCAGCGTCGAGGGCACCTCCTGTTCTCTTGTCCAGCTACACGTTACCTATGTAATTGAATTCTGAGGACTTGTCTTAGACACGTCACCTCACCCCATAGAGGGGTTATTGACCCACATAGCTAACCAACCTCGTGGCTAGACTAGGGATCAATGGATCACTCCCCCCAATGAGGTTAGAATGACAGGAGGGACAGGACCAACAACCAAAGAGAGTAAGGCATGTGTTGCATAATGTACAAACTAAGGGGCAAAGAGACGACAGTACCCTCCTGACATGCTGTCATCTAAAGCAAGCATTTAATGAATTCTCAATTGATGGGACATCCACGATGGCTTGGATGTAAGAAGGGGTAGATACTTCCTCNAAAAAAAGGGGATGCTAGGGGACTATTCTGGGGTTCCAGAACATAGATGGTGGAACCTGTAAGGCGACCAGTCACCGACTAGTTCTCTAGCAAAAGTCTATGCAAATGGCCAAAGGGTTCGAAAGTGAAGAAAGGGGGACGAGGCTCTGTTTATATAGGGCCTGTCCCATCATTGCGCATGAGACACAAGGACAGACACATTCAATGGACATGACCTCCAAAAGACGGGATTACGACTGGGCAATGATAAGGTTGGTGAGCCCTTCCATCTTCCAACAACAGGTCCCTTTTGGTACAAAGATCAAAAGACTGGGGGGCAGTTGATGGGACACTTATGAGAAAGGATAAGATTCTACCATGTGTCCTCGGTGCCTAGGGAACATCCCTTATTCTGATGCTGCCTCGTGTCCTCGGCACCGAGGGCATCTTCAGCAACCTGATGCTTCTACGTATCCTCGGCACCGAGGGCATCTCCGTCAACCTGAAGCTACCACTTGTCCTCGGCACCGAGGGTATCTCTATCAACCTGATGCTACCACGTGTCCTCAGCGTCGAGGGCACCTCCTGTTCTCTTGTCCAGCTACACGTTACCTATGTAATTGAATTCTGAGGACTTGTCTTAGACACGTCACCTCACCCCATAGAGGGGTTACTGACCCACATAGCTAACCAACCTCGTGGCTAGACTAGGGATCAATGGATCACTCCCCCCAATGAGGTTAGAATGACAGGAGGGACATGACCAACAACCAAAGAGAGTAAGGCATGTGTTGCATAATGTACAAACTAAGGGGCAAAGAGACGACAGTACCCTCCTGACATGCTGTCATCTAAAGCAAGCATTTAATGAATTCTCAATTGATGGGACATCCACGATGGCTTGGATGTAAGAAGGGGTAGATATTTCCTCAGGTGCAAGACCCGGTTACTAGTTTATACACTGCAGATAATGCCCGTCCAAAAAAGTGTAACGGTGTACGAAACCGGAAGTGAGATTCAAAAATCCGAATAACCAACAAAGACACATGGTTTATTTTAAAAAGGTCATTGGATGTGTAACATCAATGACGAGGGCTTGGAATGCTCGGATTTATACGTATGGCATTGCATGTGTTGAGGGAGCCGGTAAAGGCTCTGGTTGAGTTACATGTGTGAGTCTCATCTCATATCATGACATGACATTGAGGATTCCATTGTTGAATTGCATATTCTTGAATGGAGTGATTGTTGTTTGTGAATTACATGTGAACATTTTATTTGCATCCAGGTTGGGGAGTAGCCTCTTTAGGAGATACCCTATTGAGCATGACTCACCCTTTATGGTGATAATATTTCAGGTGTGGGACATGCGTTGGTGGACAGCTCTCATTCGGGCCCTTATTGATGAAGAAAATTTGAAATGTGGATTTTAAACCATGCTTTGTAAAACTAAGATGTAAATTAGTTTTTGGGCATGTAATGTATTTAAAGGATTGTAATCGAACTGATGTGGACTATGTTTAATGTAAAATTGCATGTTGTTTTATGTCATTCTTTGGCATTTTAAAAATCTACTAGATGAAGGAGGAGGAACTGTTCCCTCTTTGTTTCTTCTAGTTTTTGTTTCTTCTTAGTGATTGAAACTCATGCTAACATGACATACCATCTCTCTATTAGAGATTCTATGGTTGCAAGATTCAAGGCAAATCAGAAGTTTAAGGATTATAATCTTATCTGGATGATTTAGCGTGTCCTTCATTTCTCAGATCTAGTTTTCCTTTAGAATCTTATCTTGACGGTTGATCTACTTCAAATCTTAAGATTGGTTTTGGTCTCTACACTTAGTAATAGACTCTGGATTTGGTCATTGTTTTGTTAGTAAGCTGGATCTCCATCCTTGTTCCCTCAAATTTGCTTGGTGATTCAGCTTTGTCTTCCACAGAAGGCCTTTCGTTGCTTTCTGGACGAAGGAGGAGGATATGGATCTCTATCTTCTCTATTTTCTCTGGCCTTTTGTTTCTTTCACGGGCTGTTCATGTCACTGTTCATGTGACTGTTTCAGCTCCAGCTTAGCAGTTGGTTTTAGTAGGTAATTTTAGCTGAGATTCTTCTTCAATTGGTCTCATCTTTCAACTGGAATTTCAAATAAGATGCATTGGCTCTTCTCCTGATCAAGTCGCAACTTCAGCTCTTCATTACTCTCCACTCAATTAGCGTGTCTCCCAGCTTGTGATAGCTATTGCTCGTAGTTCATCTGGGGTCACTCCAGCTGCTGTTTTTATTCAAGACAGTTGTTGTTCTAGCCCTATATTTGTTTAGCTTAACTGCTTCTCCCATAGCTCTATCAAGTTGCGGATACAATCAGCTGTCATTAATGTTTTTAGAGACAACATGCATATGTTATTTTTATCTCATTATCTTTTGTAATAAGCATGCATTTAGCTACTTTGGTTTTCATTTTAATTTTAAAATTCATGTAATTAGACTGCATTGAAGGGTAAGATACATATGTTCCTCCTTAACTAAGTGTAATTAACAATTTAATCAATAAAATTCCCTTGTATCATCGAGGTTTTGCCAAAAAAAAATATATTCGTTGGATGAATTGAATATTAATTAGATGAAATTGCATGTTACTTCTGTGTCGATTTGATAAACTGAATATTTATCGAAAGATTTTGGATGTTAATTTAATGGATTCAGTATTAATTGGAAAAATTAAATATTAATTTGGAATTAATTTGTTGAATTGGGCATTAATTTGATGAATCTAATACTAACTAGTTGAATTTGAATATTAATTTGATGAATTAAATGTTTATTAGATAAAATTGAATATTAATTTTTTGTTAAGTTGATGAATTGAATGAAATTGAATATTAATTTGATGTTAATTTAATGAATTGAATATTAATTGGATTGAATTAAATGTTAATTTATTGAATTTTAATTTTAATTTGATGAATTGAATATGTTAATGTGAAGCCAATTTGCTGATTGCATGTTAATTAATACTTTTAGTTGTATGAATCTAGACATTCTAAGCCCGTGCTATTGATGTTAAACATTAAATGACCATTTATTAAATTCCGTGTCTTTTTGGAGTAGCAATTTATGATCTTTCACTAAAGAGACACTACATCATCAATGGATCATTAGGACATCCCACCTGCAGCTTTGTTTTTGCCGTTACACTTTTTTTTGGAATTTCACCCCCGAAAAATGAATGAATCAAGTAATTGGGTCTTGCACCTGAAAGGGAATCTAACCTTTTTTGCTACACCTTGACATATTTATTTATGTAAAATCTATTGAGACATAGCCGAACCTAGTCCAACCTTCTTAAGCCCATCCGTCAACTCACTAGTTGTTGATTGACCTAAACCCATGCAGATACATTCNAGCGTGTCTCCCAGCTTGTGATAGCTATTGCTCGTAGTTCATCTGGGGTCACTCCAGCTGCTGTTTTTATTCAAGACAGTTGTTGTTCTAGCCCTATATTTGTTTAGCTTAACTGCTTCTCCCATAGCTCTATCAAGTTGCGGATACAATCAGCTGTCATTAATGTTTTTAGAGACAACATGCATATGTTATTTTTATCTCATTATCTTTTGTAATAAGCATGCATTTAGCTACTTTGGTTTTCATTTTAATTTTAAAATTCATGTAATTAGACTGCATTGAAGGGTAAGATACATATGTTCCTCCTTAACTAAGTGTAATTAACAATTTAATCAATAAAATTCCCTTGTATCATCGAGGTTTTGCCAAAAAAAAATATATTCGTTGGATGAATTGAATATTAATTAGATGAAATTGCATGTTACTTCTGTGTCGATTTGATAAACTGAATATTTATCGAAAGATTTTGGATGTTAATTTAATGGATTTAGTATTAATTGGAAAAATTAAATATTAATTTGTTGAATTGGGCATTAATTTGATGAATCTAATACTAACTAGTTGAATTTGAATATTAATTTGATGAATTAAATGTTTATTAGATAAAATTGAATATTAATTTTTTGTTAAGTTGATGAATTGAATGAAATTGAATATTAATTTGATGTTAATTTAATGAATTGAATATTAATTGGATTGAATTAAATGTTAATTTATTGAATTTTAATTTTAATTTGATGAATTGAATATGTTAATGTGAAGCCAATTTGCTGATTGCATGTTAATTAATACTTTTAGTTGTATGAATCTAGACATTCTAAGCCCGTGCTATTGATGTTAAACATTAAATGACCATTTATTAAATTCCGTGTCTTTTTGGAGTAGCAATTTATGATCTTTCACTAAAGAGACACTACATCATCAATGGATCATTAGGACATCCCACCTACAGCTTTGTTTTGGCCGTTACACTTTTTTTTGAAATTTCACCCCCGAAAAATGAATGAATCAAGTAATTGGGTCTTGCACCTGAAAGGGAATATNAATTGTAAGGGGAGTGTATTTGTAGAAGCATAAGTGATGGACTGTCTATCTGAAACTCCTTTATTTGCTAAATAATCCGTCACCGTGTTCCTTTACCTATATGTTTGCTGCAAATGAAAGTTAAAATGCCTAAGCGTAGAGAATATTTTCCCTAAAAGACTCCACAATTTCCATGATGCCTTGCTTCTCTGATTGACCATATCCACTTGTAACTTAGAATATGTCTCAATAATTATCTCGTAATCTTGGAGGCCATATTCTCGTAAAAGATGAAGATCACTGCGCAAGGCCTTAATTTTTGCCTCCATGTTCATGCATATGCCATACAAATAGGAACCAACTAGGACCAATTGACCCCTTGAATTGCGTAGTATTGTCCAACCTCCTGACTCACCAGGATTGCCCTTAGATGCTCCATCAATGTTGAGCTTAAGTAAACCCATATATAGATATTTCCAAGCTATCCACCAAGAGAACACTTTAACAACTTTATATTTAGGCACATTGAGTAAATGAAGCAACTCCTTCTCCTGTTCTGAGTCTAAAGCTTTTGGTCTAACCGTATACACCTGCAACCTCAAAAAATACATAATATTCCTTACCAGGGTGTAGGGGTGTAATTTTTGACCCTCAAAGAGCTTCTTGCATCTTTCATGCCATAGTTGCCAAATATACTACTAGAGCTATCCCCCTCAATAAAGAATTACTCATAGATGAATGCTTAAAAATTCTAACAAATCTTATAAATCTAGTAATTGGATCTTCATTTGCAATCAACTAAAGACCTAATTGGACTGAGATTGAAGCCTATACTGCCCTTGCATATTATAGTTAACAAAAATGTGACCAATAGATTCGCAGTCCTCTTGACAAAAAACACATCTACTTGCCAAAGACACTTCTCTCTGTTGATAAGTTTCATCCATAGGTAATGAGTGTTGGAATAATCTCCATCCTAATAATCTTGCATTAGGAGGCACATGTTGTTTCCAAATTACCACTTCTTGTACATTGAGATGACCCTCTATCCTTACAGTACGCCAAGTTGATTTAATAGAAAAATTACTGGAATCCGTAAGCTTCCAAATAAGTCTGTCTCTTTCTACCCTCTTTAAAACCTGAAAGGATAACACCTCCTATAGCAATGGAGCATCAAGAGACTCCTGCANACTGGAATCCGTAAGCTTCCAAATAAGTCTGTCTCTTTCTACCCTCTTTAAAACCTAAAAGGATAACACCTCCTATAGCAATGGAGCATCAAGAGACTCCTGAATATCTTCTAATTTCCAATGACCATCTACACACAATTGGGAAAGCTTTGGGAACAATACAGGTCTTATAGAGTTTCTCAGTATTAGAGGCCCATAACCAGACCAATTATCACACTAGAAGTCCACAGATACTCCAGTTCCAACCAGCATAAGTGTATTCTCCACGACAATATCGAACCAAGGAGCTAGATCTCTATAACTCTTAAACTTCATTCCTGTAGTACTAGCTAGGAGGTGATTTTCCTTCAAAAATTTACTTGAAAAAGCTTTGGACCATAACGAATTAGCATTCAAGAGATTCCATACTTGCTTCATACGAAAATCACTTTGAACATCTTCAAACTTCCTCAAACCTAGGCCACCTTCATCCTTTGGCATGGTTATGTTCTTCCAAGAAACCTAATGTCTTCTCCTTTCCCCCTCCTTACCAGAACAAAAGAATGATGCCATAGTGGAATTCAGTTTAGAGACTATACCTTTTGGAAGATTTAAAGAGGCCATTAGATGAATTGGTATTGAATTCAAATCAGATTGAATCAACACCAACCTCCCCATTGCTGACAACATTTTACAGTACCACCCCTCTAGCTTAACCTGGAATTTCTTCAGCAATTCTTCATAGTACATCAATTTAACCCTGCCTTTTTATAATAGGACATCCCAAATAGGTAAAAGAATGGAACTTCAGAGGTATCTGAGTAGTCTAAGATAGCATATTTTTTCTTAACAAAGGGATTTTATTTGAGCAATACAAAGAGCTTTTATGTTTGTTAACCAATTGCCTTGAAGAATATTCATACCTCTTCACAAATTTTAGTAAATTTAACATAAAACTCTTATTTCCTTTTAGAAATATAAGTGTATCATTTGCAAAAAACAGATGTGTGAATGGAATGGAACCCATACCTGCATGGTAATACTTTGTCAATCCCCTGCTCAAGATTTCTTCTGCCAGAATGAACAAACTAGAGGATAGAAGATCCCCCTGTCTAAGCCCTCTTGATTTTGGGAAAAAACCATGCTTAATTCCATTAATCACCAAAGAGATATTCTGGTTATGAAGATAGTTAGAAATTATTCTCAGAAAAGCATCAGAAAACCCAAAATTACTCGGAGTATGTTGTAGAAAATCCCATTCCAGTATGTCAAAGGCCTTCACCATATCTAGTGTCACAATAACATTTCCAGCTTCTACCTTCCTATCCAGCTTATTAACCATTAATTGTGCAAGTGCTATGCTGTCCCTCATACTCCTACTCTTAACAAATCCCTACTATTCCTTTGAGATCAGCTTGGGAAGTAACACCCCCAATCTTGTTGTCATAATTTTTATAAAAATCTTATAAAGGAAATTACACAGGCTAATTGGTTTGAATTCTGCAAAAGANACAAACTAGAGGATAGAAGATCCCCCTGTCTAAGCCCTCTTGATTTTGGGAAAAAACCATGCTTAATTCCATTAATCACCAAAGAGATATTCTGGTTATGAAGATAGTTAGAAATTATTCTCAGAAAAGCATCAGAAAACCCAAAATTACTCGGAGTATGTTGTAGAAAATCCCATTCCAGTATGTCAAAGGCCTTCACCATATCTAGTGTCACAATAACATTTCCAGCTTCTACCTTCCTATCCAGCTTATTAACCATTAATTGTGCAAGTGCTATGCTATCCCTTATACTCCTACTCTTAACAAATCCCTACTATTCCTTTGAGATCAGCTTGGGAAGTAACACCCCCAATCTTGTTGTCAGAATTTTTATAAAAATCTTATAAAGGAAATTACACAGGCTAATTGGTTTGAATTCTGCAAAATATGTTGGATTCTCCTTCTTAGGAATGAGGGACAATAAAGTAGCATTCACAGACCTAGGCACTTTCCCTCCAGCAAAGAAAAAGTTAGTAGCAACTAGCAAGTCCATTTTTATAATGTCCCAAGCACTATGAAAGAACTGACCTAAATATGCATCTGGCGCCCGTGCACTATAGATAGACATTGAGAAGACTATAGCTCTAAGCTTATCCAGAGTGACTAGAGCAACCAGCATAGCATTATCTTCAGTAGTTACTAGATTTGGAATAAAGGCAAAAAGCCCCTCATCCAGGCTATGTGTTTTAGACTTACATAGTTTTGAAAAGAACTCTATAGCACATAATGAAATATCTTGCTCCCCCTCCACCCATTGATTATCTTTGTTTTTAATTCTTACAATTCTGTTCCTGAGAGCTTTATTCCTAGCCAAAGCATGGAATAACTTTGTGTTTCTCTCCCCCTCCACTACCTACTTCACATTTGCCCTTTGCCTCCAAAACATTTCCTCTATCATTAAAGCCCTCTCCAATTCCTTTTTCACATTCATCAATATCTGATTATTTGTAAAAATTGGGTAAATTTAAATTTTTTACAAAAAAGGGTAAAACGGTAATTTATCACTATAGTGCAGGTTAAAAACCTATATTTTTCTAGATCTCAGATGATAAAATGGACTTCACTATTGAATTCATCTCGCAAAACCTAGTTACCATGTTAATTTTTATCGAATTCCAAGATAGTTAGATTTTTTATATTTTACGAGACAACTGGATGTCGGGTGACCTTAAAAACGTTAAATAAAAATAATTTGAACTTAAATCGGGATGAAATTAAGTTGTTTTGAGACAAAAATGGACCTGAAAATGGGGAACATGCAGTGCGACATGGACCACGCAATTAAAGAGTATAAATAGATATTTGATTTCTCCCCATTTCTATCAGTTGGCACACGTTAGAAGAGAAAGAGAGAGAAGAGAGAAAAGAAAAATAAAATTTTTCACCTTCTCCCTACGATCTACGGAGCTTAGTTGGTTGAATTGAATCGGACCAAAAGTTAAAGTTGATCACCTCGATGAGGGCTACACAACCATATCAAGAACGAAGGAATTCACCAAAGAACCAAAGAGAAGATTTTGGGGAAATCAAGGGTTTTGGGCTTGGGAGGTATTCTTGGGCTTGGGGAGGTATTCTTGAAGGTTCTACCATTCATTTTACGCTTCAAGAGGTAGGGTTCCCTCCTACTTTGATTTATTTCTAACCAATGGTGTCCATAGAAAATGGTTAGGTGTATAGAAATTGCCTATTGTTATGGAAATGAGGAAATGGGTGTAGAAATGGCTTAGACCGATTTCTAGTTGAATTTGGTATAGGGAAATTATTTGTATAATTTCTTGGAACGTGTCATTATGTGGGCAATTTTGTGTGATAACATGATTGGTGCCTTAAAGGTGTTTGTTAAATGCCTATGTGAGAATTAAGTTTGTTATGGCATGAATGATGTATAACATGCTTGTAATATTGTTGTTGATGTATGCTTTGTGATAGATTTTGGTGATTACATGCATATGATGTAAGTTGCCATGGAATATGATGATATACGGTTTAAATTGCTCATTTGGCATTCGTTGCATTTTGGGCATAAAATTAGCATCCCATTCATGGGCATTAGGCATGAGTGTGGGTGTGTGTACATGGTTTAGTCAAACACTTCTATTGGTGCTTGATAAGTGGACACGGGAAGGTTGGATCGGATCCAGCTGAGTTGCATGTTGCATGAAAAACTTGTGTTGGGTATAGCAAGAAGGGATAGATTCTCCCCTGGGTGAAAGATCCAGCTACTTGGTTCATACACTCCCCTGTGGTGGAATTTCAGAAAATTTGAATGGCATACGGAGCCAATGGTGTGATTCCAAAATCCAATACCCAATAAAGACACATGATTTTGTTTTATAAAGTACTCATTTGACGGGTAACATCCAATAATGATTTGGTTTTATAAATACGTGCATTGCATTGTATTGTGAGAGTCGGTGAGGANCAAAATCCAATACCCAATAAAGACACATGATTTTGTTTTATAAAGTACTCATTCGACGGGTAACATCCAATAATGATTTGGTTTTATAAATACGTGCATTGCATTGTATTGTGAGAGTCGGTGAGGATTCGGGTTAAAGTGTATGAGTGAATATCATCTCATATCATGACATGACATGGTAGAATTTCCATCTTGAATTACATGTTCGTGATTGGAATGGATAATGGTTGTTGATTGTTGCATGTGCACATTTCATATGCCCTTAGTTTGGGGAGTATCCTCTATAGGAGATACTCTATTGAGCGTAGCTCATCCTATACGGGAAAAAATTTCAGGTAGGGGATACAACCCGGTGGATGGCTCTTATTCGGGGCCTCAAGGATGAAGAGAGGCCGACTTGTGGCCTTTAATCCATATTTTGTAAAACATTGTGAAATTTATGTTTTGGACATGAAATCTTTTGAAAAATAATTGTAATAGAACTTGTTTTAACTGTATTTGATGTACAAATATATGTTATATGAGTTTGGGTGAGTTTGAAATGAATTGCAAATGGAAAATAGGCAAAACTGGACAAAGCCTACTGGTACAACTTTGTCTAGTAGGTAAACCCTACTGGTAGAAATTTTCCAGTAGGCAAACCCTACCGGTAAGAATTTTCCAGTAAGCTCACTCTACCAGTAGGCCTTCCAAAAATTTTGAAATTTAAAAAATTGTTTTGATATGCTTTTGGACTTTGAGTTATTTGGTTCCAAGGATATAAATGGACATAAAATAAAGATAAATTATGATATGTTGGACCCGGTTGGGTCAAATGGAAAAATATGCGTGTGATATAAGCATGGGTAACAATCCCGGTTAAAGGGATTCTCTTGATGTGATGTTGGATTGGGCGACAATCATGGGTATTTCCATGGGTTGACGGATGGTCAACGGTTGACAAAGGACCCCCAGTTTTAGGGGCGTCACATTATTGGCGTCAGATGCATCCCTTTCACACTCCATTTCCTCACAGAATAGTTGTGCTTCAAGTCTTTTAATATTGTCAAAGACATTACCAAAGTCTCCTTATTCCCTCTTTTCAAGTTCATTTTCAAAAACTTTAACTTCAGAAAGAAGTTCTCACTAGGATTTGATGAATAATGGCCAGTCTAGTTACTCTAAACTAATTTTAGAAAATCCTTATGCTCAATACACATATTTTGGAATTTAAAGTATGAGATTCTTGGTGCAGATACCGACTCTGCAAACCTCACAATAAGTGGACAATGATCAGACTGCCCCCTTCCAGTATGCTCTACTAATGTTACAAAGAACCTTTCCACCCATTCCATACTCACCAATGCTCTATCTAAGCGCTTCCATATTCTGGTTTTACCTTGATGGTTATTACACCAAGGTAGAACCCATATAACCACAGTCCTACAAGGCCAAATAGTTGATGACTGAAATAAACTCATTCATGATAGATAAGCTTGGAACATAACCCCCTTTTCTTTCAGCAGAAGAAACAATTGCATTGAAATCTCCAATCACCATCCATGGCTTAAAGATAACAAGTAAGTTAGCTAAATGACTCCATAGGGCCCTTCTCTAAATAGAATCACACTTAGCATAAACTAAAGTGAGAAAAAAGGATTTTGATCCCAGATAAGATACCTCTAATGTAAGTGCCTATTCATGAGCAGATGCCATGCTTATGTTTAGTCTATGGTCCCAGAGTAGCCATATTAATTTGCCCGCCAAAGGATTGGCCAATTAAGATGACAATCCCATACTTCTAAATAATTGATGTAATTTAGAAGGCTATAATTTTAGCTCTAGTAAAGAAACCAGACTTACGTCATGCAAGTTAACCAACTGCCTCAACCTCAACCTAGAAGTCTTTTGGTTTGCACACCTCACATTCCATGAAATAATACTAATCATTTAAAGGTTTGGGTAAAGGGAGTTGGCTAGATTTCAATCTAGTAAACATTCTAGACTGAATTGGGACATTGATTACTTCACAATTAACCTCTTCGACCAAATCAGATTCTGAGTCATTCGAGTCAAGTTCGATATGATGATTAATATCATTATCCGAGTAAAACCCTTTATCCAGAGGCTCCTTACTACATGTTAAACCCATTTCATCATCCAAGGAGATCTCTCCCCCTTCCCTACAAGTATAGTGATGGTCAACCAGGAAAGTTGAAGATATACACTGCTCATTCAATCTACAGAGTCCCTTACTATGGCACAAGGCTACGTTTGATTCTAGAAAATTTGCGTCAACAGGTGTTTATCCATCGTCTACAACTGGTACCTCTTTATTTGCAAATTCCTTAATTTTTTTTTTTTGGGGGGGGGACCCTAACCAGAAGATCCTACGAATTAGAGGTTTCCATATCCTTCCCTGAATGCTCTCCTATCTCCAAAAAGGGGGGGGGTTGTTTTCAGAACATTCCCTACAATCTTTCCAGCTACACCTTGCACTGATTTGTCAAATCTTTCCTTCTGCGACTGATTTGGTATCCATATTCCTTGCTTTTGCACCCCTTGCCATACCTTTGGTTGATCCAGATATTTCCTATTTTGATTGCCAATTCCTTGGTTTTGAATACCTTCCTTTTCTATAATATGCAGATTCTTTCCTTTTTGTTGTTCTTTAGTTTCCTTTGGCGCCCCTACAAAATCTAAAACTGCAATCTTTCCTTCTGCAACCTTCATCTGGATCAATGGCTTCTTCTTCATCCATTAAACTTCATCATGGCCTTGTTTCCTACATACTTTGCATAGCTTTTTATTCTTTTCATGCATAATTCGCTACCAACGTGCACCATCTTCACCCATATCCGGCTAAATCCTAGAAGGTTTATTAGCTAGTAAATTCACTTCAACACACACCCTTGAAACCCCAGGTTTGGCTAGAGAGAGCATTGCTTGATCGTGTGCTAGGATTCTTCCAACGGGCTTTAGCAACAGCTCCAAAAAAGGCTTCTTGAAAAAATTAAAAGGTAAACCAAGTAAAGATATCCACATAGGAACAATGGATGGCTCTATACTAGGTACAAAAATAGGGAACCATTTGAAAAATCTAAACAAATAATCTTTAATCATACTGGCATCTTTCAACCAAATTCTTACATAGTCCTCGTGCTTTCCAAACCTTATCAACATATGTCTGGGATCTATTGAACCAATCTCAAAATCACCCTTTAGATCCCACTTTGATCGTATAACTTGTCGTATCACTCCCAAACTTGGACGGCCGTAGGCACACTTACCTATTAGAGCATATTGCAGAGATAGGATGTTTCTTTCACTTCCTCATTGGTAAAGTAGAAGGCAAGCTCACCCTCATAAAAGACAACTGGTTTTTCAATCTTAATCTTAGATTCTTACACAGAAATAAGCTTAGATGGCTGTTTGAAAAGAGAAGCATATGATGGTTGATGTTATGTATGATTTACCTGTGATAAATCTGGAGGTTTTGGTGTTATTAGAGAAGGATTTGGTGAAAAACTCATGAAGAGGAAAAAATCCTAGAGAGAAGTGAAAGTTTCATATGCCAAGATCATCCTGATTTGAATATTAATTGGATGAAATTAAACATCCAACTAATACCAAATTAACATTCCATTTTATCAAATAAATGTTCAATTCATCAAATTAACATTGAAATTCAACTAGTTAACATGAAATTCATCAAATTAATATCAATTTCATCCAATTAACCAATTAACACCCAACTCATTAAATTCATGCCAAATTAACATTCAGTTTATCAAATTTATATTCAAAATCAACCAATTAACACTCCATTAATGAAATTAACACACACAATCATCCAAGAAAGATTCAATTTATCAAATCAACACCAAAGTAACATACAATTTCATTCAATTAAAATTTAATTGATCAAATGAATACAAAATTAACATTTAATTCATCAAATTAACATTCAAATTCAAGAAGTTTACATCAAATTCACAATTGCATCCAATTAGTATTCAATTCATCAAGTTAACACCAAATTAACATTCAATTTTAACTAGTAACATTTAATTCATCAAATTAATATTCAAATTCAAGTAGTTAACATTAAATTCATCGAATTAACATTCATTTGTATCCAATTAATACTCAATTTATCAAATTAACACTCAATTTATCAAATTAACATTCAATTTGTGACACCCAGAATTTTTGGGTGCCACTTAATCACTAATTAAATCAAAGATTTCCCTTGGTAATGTTGCGTTGCTCCGACACCATGCTATAACACCCTATTTACTGGGATCCATTTTTCAATGAAACCTAGGCGAAGTCTCCTTTGTAAGGGGAGCGCTCCCAGACACACAACTTGTGCAGAAACCATTCTATTGACCTCTTTGGGTCCAATATCAACATCCAAACAATTTGGACGTTAAATATTCGTCAATATACAACATTCATTCATTCAAAAGAATAAATGTCCATAAAGTCTCAAATACATGCCTTCAATAAAAAGAATACACAAGTATGTAGTTAAAAATATACAAGGCTAAAATGTAAGTGCAACGGGACAAAACATCCAAAATGAAAGCCATATTCCGACTTTGTCCTCAAAATGGGCCCAAGTGAGGGTCGTCAGTTGAAGAACATCCTATACCTAAAATATATCCCCAAAAAGGAGCCAACAATTAATATGGCATCTCATATGGAGATCACCTCATATGGTGATCACCTCCCAACCCATATGCATATGAAATGTCATACAATCATAATATCTTTCAAGCATTCATTCACATATGTATGACATGAATAATGCTACAAACCATTCCATGCCATGAAGTGACAACCCATGCATGCAATGTTAACACCAAGTCCCATCCTAAGCTCTCACAACGTATGCAATGCCATGTGTATGAATCCAGACATTGCAAGCCTCCGCCATTGATGTTAAACACCCAATAACTATTTAATTAATTCCATATCTTTTTGGGGCATCGATTTATGGTCTTTTACCAATGGTACACTACACCGTCAGGGGATGTTCAGGACATCCCACCTGCGACTCTGTTTTTGCTGTCATTCTTTTATGGACTGATTACACCAACGGAAAACGCATAACCAACATTATTGGGTCTTTCACCCGAGGGAGAATCTAGCCCTTCTTGCTACACTCTGACGCATTTATTTATGTAATTTTGATGCGACTTAGCTAGACCTAAGTCCAACCTTTTCGAGCCCACCCGTNATTATTGGGTCTTTCACCCGAGGGAGAATCTAGCCCTTCTTGCTACACTCTGACGCTTTTATTTATGTAATATTGATGCGACTTAGCTAGACCTAAGTCCAACCTTTTCGAGCCCACCCGTCAACTCACCTAGGTGGTGATTGATCCAAAACCATGCACACACACTCACACTCATGTTAAAGCCGACAAATGTAGTGCAATCCGTGCATATGTAAATGTAATGTACAATTACAATTTCATTTCATCATAATATTAATTGTATCACCATATAATAACTTTTCATAAANCGACAAATGTAGTGCAATCCGTGCATATGTAAATGTAATGTACAATTACAATTTCATTTCATCATAATATTAATTGTATCACCATATAATAACTACATCACCAAGCATGCTATATATGATCATTATCCAAATAACATACTTGCACTTACCTAAGCATTTATCAAAATATTTAGTTAACATAAAATGTAAACACATAACATACCCAAATAGTTCATTTCATCAAACTAAACATCCTCCTACTTGTAGGTTGTGCCTCTCCTACTGGTAAGTTCATATTTTCACAAAACCAACCCAATTCAAGCAAGACAAGGGTTTAACAATTTCTCATAATTAGCCTTAACCCACTAGTCACACTAGTTAAAAGCTAAAACATGTGATACACATATCCATAGCCCTACCCATTTCATATATAAGCCCCGAGTTGAAATTGAACCTGGATAGGAGGGAATCCTACCTCTTGTAGCATGAGCAACGTAGGAAGATTCCTTAGATTGCCTAAACAAAGCTCTCCCAAGCCCTAGACCACAACCCCTCTTTTCCAAAATTTGGGAAAACGGGTCATAGTTGGTATAGACGCGTAGTCCTTATCGAGTGGAGCATCATTTACTTTTGCTCTATCTTGATGCAATAGATAGATCTTTGTAGATCAAAAGAAAAAGGAAGAAGAAGATGAGAAAAAGTGAGCTCCTCTCTATCTCTCTTTNTTGTAGATCAAAAGAAAAAGGAAGAAGAAGATGAGAAAAAGTGAGCTCCTCTCTCTCTCTCTCTCTCTCTCTCTTTCTCTTTCTACCGAAACTTGGAGGAAACAAATGAGTGACTCGTTTTAATACTTGGCCAAGATTGTGTCATGTGTCACTTTTTCATTGGTCTATTTTTATCCTAACCAATCACATCCTGCCATATGTCTTATTTGATATAATTTTATGGGATTCCCTTTACATTACATTATAGGTTCCATGATTAAAATATGATAGCAGAAATTTAATCGTGTGATATTCAATTGCATCGTCACACGTGAAAATCCAACTGTCTTAGAATTCAATGAAAATTGACTGGCCAACTCAATTTCAATTAATCCCATTTATATTCAAATTCAATCAATTAATACCCAATTCATCAAATTAACATCCACAATCAATTTCATCCAAGTAATATTAAATTCATCAAATTAACACTAAATTACCATTCGATTTTAACTAATTACATTTAATTCATCAAATTAATATTCAAATTTATCTAGTTAATATTAAATTCATCCAATTAACACTCAATTCATCAAATTAACATCTAAAATCATCCAAGAAAGATTCAATTTATCAAATCAGCACTACCTCTGTCCTTTCTCCGGGACTCTCAAAATTAGAGCTGAAGTAAGCCTCTTCTTCAAGTCTTGAAATGTCATCTCACACGAGTCATCCCACTAAAAATTGACCTCTTTCCGGGTCAATCTCGTCATAGGTGCAACTAGTCGAGAGAAGTCCTCAATGAACCTCCTGTAATACCCTGCTAATCCCATGAAACTGCATTTCCCGAAGACTGACTTTGGCCTCTCCCAAGTTATAATTGTCTCAACCTTCTCCGGGTCCATGGATACACCCAAAGATGACACCACGTGTCCCAAAAATTTCACCTCCGTCAGCCAAAATTCACACTTACTTAGTATACAACTGATGGTCTCTCAAGGTCTGGAGAACAACCCTTAAGTGACCCTCATTCTCCTCGTCAAACTTGGAGTAGATCAGAATGTCATCAACAAATTGGTTTTTCTTGATCTTCAATTGCTATTTCAATCTGGTTATAACTAGAATACCCATCCAAAAAATAATAATATGTATGATCGGCTACTCTTTCTAAGACTTGATCTAAGAATGGTAGGGGAAAATGAACTTTTTTGGTGAGAGAATTCAACTCCTAATAGTCAACACACATATGCCAACTAGGGACTATACGCATAGGGCCTAATTCATTTTCTTGGTTTTTCACGACCGTCACACCAGACTTTTTAGGCACTAACTGCGTAGGGTTGACCCATTTACTATCATATATTGTAACACCCCAAAATCCACCCTGAAAAACATTAATATCTACAAACCATCCAACCATGAGAGCAACTAAAAATAACCATTAAGTAATATAACATTCATCCATTTGACAAAGA